TCCCCTGCATCGCCCCCTGCATGGATGCGAGCACAGCATGCACAGACTAAGGCTTCACATGACTTATCCTGCAACTCTTCTTCCTGCAGTCTTCGCAGAGTCCGACGATCCACACTCCAACCGACCTGTGGCACTTCCCAATAGACCAGGTTAGACTATTTTTTGTCTAAGATCTATGTTGTAAAAAATTGTCTATTAGATAACTTTTTTGTTGCCTAAGACAACATGATTTTTGGCTGAGACAACTTTTCAAAATTTGTCTAAGTCTATTTTGAAGAAACAGTCTTAGACTATTTTTGGCTGTGTCTGAGACAATTTTTTTGTCTCAGACAAATCAAAACTTCCTCAAGACTACCACAGGCACTGAGGAAGTTTACTTGCAGTTTCATCATAGGCATGAGGAAGTTTATGTTACAAAATTTGCATATTACTGCAGTTTCAGTCCACGTGCGTGACAAACTTCCACACTTGCAGGTTGAAACTGCCTACAAACTTCCATCAAACTACCTCCAAACTGCCACAAAAAGAAAGGAAGTTTGAAGGAAGTTTTGAAAAAAAGACGAGGTAGTCGTTTGCAGCCGCGAAAATTTGTCTAAGACAGCAGAATTTTGTCTATTAGACAACTTTTGTTTTGTCTATTAGATAACTTTTCGTCACATAAAGTTGTCTAAGACAAATCACAAAAATTTATCTAATAGACAAACTTTAAGAAAGTTGTCTATTAGACAATTTTTTGTCTAACCTGGTCTATTGGGTTGCTGATCTTCTTTCTGTAACAAGGCATTCACGTATTGGCTTGGAATTGTGAGCTCGGCCGATGCTCCGGCTGCGCGATGCGCTGCCTCATCGAAGACTTTGCTATGGTTTTCTTTCAGGTGTGCCCACAAGCACGTGGTAGCATCGCCGCAGCAGGTTTTGGCTGAGTGTGACCAAGTAGTGCCCTCCATGCGCCACACTTTTTCTTTTGACCAGTGGGGATGACACGGTTACTGCATCAGAAGCCCACCAGCAACCGTCGAACGCACAGTGCACTGCGAGATACACTAACCCAGAGTTTGACCCTAATGCTTGCAAGTCTCTGTCAGACAACGCGCACGGCAACAAAGGGTGTGTCCGGAAGTGCGTGGCCAAGTGCTTGGCGCTGTCTATTGCACGGTCCTCTACCGTCACCCAGCTTTTATTTGGTTCGATGGCGGCTTGTAGGTCTGCGTCATTGGACCTCTCACTTATCTCGGAATCCCACGACAGCACGCTGTCCAAGTCAACGTCTGTGGCCGTTCCTTCAGATTCTTCCACTGCGTGGGACTGTGGCCAAATGTCGTCTGCCCCCCCCCTGCACGGTGGGCATTATTTCTGCGGTTTGCTGAGCATCGTCGGCTGCGGCCGCTGTCGCTGGCTTGGAGCCCGCGGTAGGTGTATCTTGCATAGACTCGGAGTACTGTTCGTTCTCCAGAATAATAGCTGCACTGTTTCCCTGGACAGTGGCTGCGATGCTTTCTTCCTGTTCGGTGACGCCTGTCACAGCGACAGACCACCTTGACCGCCGCAGAGGCGTCCTCAAGAGGGATGTCCAGGCGAGGTAGCTGGCACAAGGAGCATGTCCGAACGGACGGGCGCGCGGCGGACATTTGGGACCAACCGCCAGCCTGTCTGTTTGTCCGGTTCCAGACAAAGACAAAGTGGCGAGTACGGGGGCTGGGTGAGGACAATATTTTTCCAGTCGCACTCCAGCAGCAAGCGTGGCGCCTGGACAAGGGCCGAAGGCGACCCATGCTGCGGGTGGTGCGACGACAATTTCCTCTGGCCCCGGTGTTTGCAACGACAGCGCATGCGGCGCAAGGTCAAACCTATACGCAGAAGGGGCAGTGACAGACATGCAGATCGGCGAAGGCGGAGACCCGATGACCGCATACATTGCCGTGACGCGGGTGAAGGCCCGGGACGGATTGTACATATATAATATAGATCCTTTGACGGGTCGCCCTCCCAAAAGGGACGCAGTGTGGGAAGGGCTTTGCTGTTGCAGGCCTGGCGTGGAGAGAGCATCGACTGGGCGACGTTGCGCGCGCGCTACCGCGAGGAGAAAGCGTGCAGCGAGTGTCCCGAAAGCAAACCCAAAAGCGCGTATGCAGCGCCGGCCATGTGGAAGCGGGAGGCGGATGCACGGGTCTGCTGAGAATGCGTGCGTAACCACGCGGCAAACAATACGCCCTGGCAGTGCAAAGTCTGCAAAGCATGGAAGCAAGAAGAGGCCTTTGCACCCATGCACGCACGCCCCCAATGTACTTTCCACCGCGTGCGCCGGACGTGCGAAGCACAAGTGTAGCGCAGCAAAGCCGGAGAGTGCGTTTGGGGTTGCCGCGTGGAAGGCACGAAATGCGGACCGACGTGTTTGCACGGCCTGCGCGAGCAACGTGAAAGGTGAGAGGGCCACGCAGAAGCCGTGTTTCAGGCGCGGCGTGGCAAAGGCGGAGGATGCCTTTGAGGTTGCCGCGTGGAAGGCGCGAAATGCGAGACCGACGTGTCTGCAAGGCATGCGCCGTGAAAGGAAAGGGTACCTGGCGCTGCGCCGTGTGTGCAGAGCGGAAGGCACGCATGGATTTCAGCGCGTGGTCAAGGAAGCGCGCCACACGGCAGAATGGGACGCGGCGTTGCAACGCTTGTGTCCTGCGCACGGCCGCGCGCGCGACTTGCCAGACGACGGCTTGCCCGGGAACGGCGCACGGTGGCGACTGTCCGCGCACTGCGCCGCGCTGCGCCAAATGTCAAGGAAGTCAGTAATGCGTGCGCAATGAGAAAGTGGACGCGCCGTGTCGCGGCCACTGCCGCAGAACGGCTCCGGAACATACGCGGCGGAGACATGGGCAGAGATTGCGGCGAGACACGGACAAGCAACGGAGGGGACACAACAGACGCGCGCGACGGAGATGCTCAAGACACACGCAAAAGAAGACGGGACAGGAAAGACCACAGAACAGACAACGGCCGCGCCAGAGGGGCCGACACAGCAGCCGCGCACGCCCGGCGGCATCGGCAGACGCCAGGCCGCAGCGGAGAAACGAAGCGGCGCAAGGGACGCAGACCCGAGAAAGTCGCAGAAACGGAAAAGGGCAGACAGTGGACCGGACACGCCAGAAGCAGGCGCGCAAACCGATGGACGCAACACGAAGACCCGAAGCCCAGCCCCCCGCGCAGGAAGAAGACAGCGCACAACACAGAGGAGAAAGCCATACCAATACGCGTGTCCCTTCTGCAATGCAAGCGTCGGCAGCACCGTGCGCACAGGCGATGTAGGTCACCGGCAAGCGCGCGGGAACCGTTTCGCTGTGAGGGAAGGAAAGGTGGCTGTGAAAGAATATGCTTATTGCTGCCATGGTGCAAAGCTACTGTGTCAAGTAATGTCAAAAGTCGACGCGTGGACCATCGATGGGGTGGTCAACAGAGGCACAGGCATACAGCAGCCCAGGTGATGGCCACAGCGCGGCCCATAGACTGCCCAAATCGGGCTGGCCAACAGTTGGCCAGCGCAAGCGGCGGGGTTCCAGGGTAGCAAACGAATGCAAACGACACCATCTATGTCAACACCAAAAAGAGGCGAGCCGCAGCCAGCCAAAATGCATAACGTCGCCTGGAAAGGCAGCGGCGCCTAACGTCGCCTGGCCTGGCCCAGTTGCCTGGCAGCTCAGTCAGAGGTGTGCGTATAAGACTGCCCAAATCGGGCTTGCGTTGGCCAGCGCCAGCAGGGGGGCTTCCGCGGTAGCAAACCACACAATCTATTTCCACACCACAAAGAGGCGAGCCGCAGCCAGCCAAAATGCCTATGCCTAACGTTGCCTGGCACGTCGCCTTCGGGACCCGAAAGAAAAAAGGCGCAGGCCGAGCCGCAGCCAGCCAAAATGCCCAACGTCGCCTGGCCTGGCCCAGTTGCCTGGCACCAGCCAACATGCCTAACGTCGCCTGGCGTGGCCCAGTTGCCTGGCAGCTGAGTCAGAGGTGTGCGTACAAGACAGGGCTGGCGGTTTCCGGGTAGCAAACGACACAATCTATTTCCACGCCAACAAGAGGCGAGCCGCAGCGTGGCACGTCACCTTCGGGACCCCAAAGAAAAGAGGTGCAGGCCGAGCCGCAGCCAGCCAAAATGCCTCGGCGCCTAACGTCGCCTGGCCTGGCCCAGTTGCCTGGCAGCTGAGTCAGAGGTGTGCGTACAAGACTGCCCAAATCGGGCTGGCGTTGGCCTCAATTTGCGCTGGGCGCCGCCCCGCCTAGGCGTCAGCTAGGGAGGGGTCGGCGGATATATATATACATATATATACATCCTTTGGGGTTGATACTGTACCCCCACTTGTTTCGGGGCTTTGGGTTTCTCTTGGATATGGATGAAAAGAAAGAAGCCACTGGTTCTTGTCTAGTTCCGAAGCAAGCAAACTATGAACCAAAGGAATCCGAAGAGCAAAGCCCTATATGCTTTATATGGTAAAGAAAAGCAATAAAGCAAAGCAACAAAAAAAGTGAAGCGGTTGCGGTCTCGGGAACATATCAGAAAGTTACAGAACAATTACCACTGGATACATCCGAAAAGGGTTTCCACGCGGTGTCGACATTGCTTATCATTTAATCAAAAGATGTCTAAGGTATGAAACATTGGGTATATGTGTTGTGTTGGGGTTCTTCAACTGTTGGGACCTTTCTATTTATTAGACTGCGTGACACTAAGCCAGCTGTTACTGTGAGAAAATTTGAATGTTGATGTAAATGTACCATGTAAGTGGCCGGGGGCATGGTTGAACAGTGACCAATTCCAGGGCTTGTCACATCAGTAGCAGCTACGGCGCCGGACCTCGGATCAAGTGCTACTTTTAGCTTTGCTGCCGGAGAGCGTGTGTGCATATCAACATCTAAACAAGACCTGGTTGCAAAAGAGGAACTCAACACTGTTTGCGCGAAACAGGTCAGATATTGATTCTGCTGGTTTTCCAGTATTTGTCATGCGGCCCCGCCAGGACTTCATTGCTGCAGCACAGGCAAATCCACGTTCGAGAATGGCTGCCTAGCTGCATTACAGCTGCTGCACATGACATCACAGGTGTGAGGAGGCTCAGTTCGGTGGCACAAAGACAAGACTTTGATATTTTTTTGAAACGAGTAAAGCAGCCCGAGACAGGGTCTCGAAATGGAGATGGTCGGTTGTTAGGGAGGTAAATCACTCAACTGCACGCTGAGATGTTATCGCTGTATTCCAAGCTGCTCCCTGTTGGCAACATGCTGGTTTGCCTGTCACCTTTCCATGAAAGACTCAGATCCTTGACATGCGTTGGTGAAGGCGAGATTTGCTTGGTTTGTTTTGAATTGAAGGGCGTTGCTTGACTTGTGACTTTTATATACATATATATATATAACGGTTTCTTTTCACGTTTTTTCTGGTTATGTTGTGTCAGTGGGAGCTAAGGACATGCGAGGTGGTGTCACAGGAATTTCTGTGTTATTTGGACTTGGTCGTAAGCAGTTGAAGACTGCCTCTCCTGGTCAGAATATAGACTGCTGTGGGGTCCATGACATCACACCTTGCATTCTCATCAGCAATTGAGGAAAAGGTGCGACACGCCCTGTGCTTCCCTCTCAACATGTTTCAACTGCGTCCTTCAATCACCCACAGTGTCCACCCTCAAGACATGTATAGATGCTTTGGCTATTACGCGACCTTTTGAGCCCAACTGCAGTGTTGCAGATGAGCAGCAGGACGATTGGTGAGGGGTTCTCAACGAAGACGAAGTCAGTCAGAGGCTTTGTGAGCGAACGAAGTGAGTTAAGGGGGTGTGCGGGGGAGGGGGGCCCAAAACGTAAGAAACTGAGAGGGTGAACCTTGAGGCTGCTGGGGGAGAGCGCGCAAAAGTGAAGATCAGAAAGCGCTAAAAATGATGTAAAAATGGGGCATGGTGATGCAATTGACGCCGAGTGGTGCATCATTAGCATCATCAAGGTCTCCGGTGAGCGCTTTTCTTGCCTCGGACGGGCCGCTGGGAGCGGTGAGACACGTCAGCGTGCACGCAAAGGTATGAGGCTAATTGGGTACGAAACCTAAAGCATGCACACCAAAACCTTGGACATCTTGCACCCCATCGCTTGAGTCAAGCTCTCAAAAGCAAGGATATCAACATGTCCTGGCCAAGCATGCACGACCGGGTAATATATATTCGTTGTTGGACTTCAATCAAAGAAGCTATTTAGGTGGCATTGACTGGACCAGCAAAGCAGGCAAAACCTGCTGAGGCATATAGTTCCTGCCATCCTCCTAGTCATCCTTTCAGAGAAGTCTGGTTGGATGTATTGGTGCTAGTATGGTAGTTGGTTGGCAGCGACAAGTTGCTATCAGAAAAGGGCCCCGTGTAGATAGCAACTTCTCTGTGTTTTATGTCTTTGCGTTTTCTGACTCTATGTCTCTATGGTTCTGTGTCTCTATGTCTCTGGGAAGAGAGGTGTAGCCGCGACTTATGGTTGTATTTTGGGCGGATCAGTGGCACAAGCGCAAGTAAAGCCCCCAACAGCACGAAGCGCCACCGAGCCGCCGTCGGAAAAACAGCTGTCTTTCGTTCTCCCCCCTTCTCAGGTTTGCTTTATAATACACTCGAGGTTTCCACGCTTTCCTCGCTTGTGCGGCATTCCTGACGCAAACTTCTTTGCGTTCTGCCAACCACATGCACAGGTTTCTTTTGCTTTTACTCTTTCGGTTGCCTTTCACCACGTCGAGTACTTGTCAAAAGTACCTCATGCATATATACAGTAGTTTTTCTTGGCTCACTTTTGTTCAACTACCTGTTATCAAGCGTTTGTCAGGGAAGGTTGCTTTTTTCCCCAAACAGTGTGTGCGCTAGGGGTTCATAAGGTACTGGTTAAGGACGGGTGTTTGATCGGAGGTGCTCGCATCCGCTGGCGGCTAAGTCGCTACAGTACATGCATTCACCTCGAGATCTTTGAAGTGCTTTTCGACTGCGCAGGCTCACAGAATCTGGTCGGCCGCGGCGGGTGCTCTTCGAGACTACGCTCTCGCTGTGGTGCCGCGCGCGTTCTGGGACTCGGTGATCATTTTTAGTGGCAGGCGCAAAATGGACTGTTCGTGAGTGGCTTCATGTCGATGCACAGATTTCCTGGCAGGCGCAGTGCTATTCATGGACATGGCGGTGGTCTTCGGCGTGCTCTGATTTCGTGGCAGGCGCGGTGAATCGTGACTTTTGGGTTTGTAACTGCGGTTTGGCATCTTGATGTTGTCTTTGGAAGTGCTCTTGCTGCAGATCGCCTTGGCAGGGCTGCAAGATGTGAATCTTGATGTGCTGATTTCGTGGCAGGCGCAGTATTTTGTGGACCTCCAGTGCAGATTTCGTGGCAGCCGCAATATTTTGTGGACCTTGATGTGAAGATTTCGTGGCAGGCACCTTGAAGTGCAGATTTCGTGGCAGACCTTGACGCGCGGATTTCGTGGCAGGCGCAGTGTTTTGTGAACCTTGACACGTGGATTTTGTAGCAGGCGCAGCATTTTGTGGACCTTGAGGTGCAGATCCATCATCACCACCATCTGCATCATCATCACCACCATCGCCACCATCACCTCTCCTCTCTCTGGAGCCCAGCCTCTAGACCTTAGACCTTTAGACACACTGTTTGGGGTGGGGTCTCTGGACAGTCTGCTTTGCGACGTCTTCATTTGTTTTTGCAAAGCTTTGCCGAAGGCACGGAGACTTTAGATAGGAGAGTGTTGCTATGCTTTCAACTTCCCATGTTCAGCCAATGTTTGCCTAATGGTAAATGTTTAGACAGCTGATGTTGCCGTCTCTTCAACTTGCCAGCAAAAAGAACAGATGTTCCAAGTTCCGAATAGTGGAGGTTTGGGGGGAGATTTGGGAAGGAGAAATCCAATGGCAATTTCGGACAAAAAATTTTGTCGACATCAAGAAAGGTGACAGCAGGCCTGTTGGGCAAACTATGAGACAAGACCAGGGAATCGTTCTGTAAAGAGAGCATCATGTGAAAGATATGTTGATTTGGAAAGGCCTTTGCGCAGCAAGGGTTTCAGTAGAGAAAGGATGAGAGTTTTTGGAACATTGAGAGGAGCAACCCTTCTTGGTGAAACGATCAAGCTTGCAGCCACACCGCTTGCTCAAAACCAGTTCTGGTTTCTGCTACTTTGTTCGTGATGGTTGCCACGGGTGATACCTTTGCGTGTTGGAGAAAGAGATGCCCCTGTGTGACGGGAAAAATTGCAAAAGGGGGATTGTAGGACTATTTTTTGTTCAGTGTTGCCTTGTAGGATTATCATGTTGAAGTTCAACGTATGAACCTTGCCTTTGATGTTTTATGTAATGTATGTTCTCAGACTTTTTAGTCCCTAACTTTTCTGAGGCAGATGGTTTTAAGATGAGGTGAGGAATTGTTTAGGTTGTTGTGTTTTATTTCTAGGTCTGGGTTTGTGGGTTGTAAGTATGCTGTGGTTATAGGTTGTAAGGTTTTATAGTGTATAGTTATGTTCCGAGTTCTTGGTATGAGGGGAATGTATCATTAATATAGTCTATTGTTTGTTGTTTTCTTAATCGTTATTTGTCTTTTCAATGTTTTTAGGCTTTAGGTTTTGGTTCTTGTTTGGTTTCTTTTGTGTTGGTCGTATTGTTTTGATGTCGTTTGCTTCGTTCGTGTCTTTTCATTTTGTTTCTCCCTACCTCAATCTTACAGATAGGACATTCAACTGTTTCTTTGTGTTTGTTTAGTATTAGTATTTGTTCTTCTCTGTGGTTTTCTCTGTATTGTTGCTTAAATTCCCTACACTTCTTACATTGTGCCTTTCCATTGTCAAAGTCTTCTATCAACTTTAGAACGCCACATCTTGAACATGTCTTCTTCATATTGTCAGTCATTGGACTATACAATATAACGTGCTATATCTTTAAAAGGGTTTATGGGTCAGTGATTATTTCATAATATGTTTGAAAGATATTATGAATTAATCGTGTTTATGCTTGCCATGTTCTCTATGAGATGTTTGCTTCTTTAGCCTTGCTGACTCCTCTAGAATTTAGGAACTTTTTGAGTCCTTACGCTTTTCCCGAACTCTTACCGCTTGTTACAGTGGTTCTGATGGGTCAGATCCATCAACTTGATTGCATGGCTTGGCTGATCACCCAACGATCCATGCCGTCAGTCGATCCTTAAAGGCCCGGGACGGCCACCGGACGCATACAGCGCGCTATTGTGCAAATCGTTTGGCTAGCAACAAGTGGGTGTTTCTAGTTCTTGCTGGATTCTGGGGTGCTCAAACATCTTAACTGCCTTGGCTTTGCGGGGGCCATTAGAAACATTTTGTTTGCGCGGTCTGTCCATAAACACTTCTTCAATAAAATATCCTTTCGTACCACGGCTCCTATATATGCGTTCAGGTTTAAGAAAAAAACATAAGCAACAATCAGCACATTGCGCTTCTACACAGGGACTAATTGGAAAGATGGACATCTTTGCATTGAGGACAGGGCCTGAAACGCAGTTCATCCCTTCTCCTTCCTCTTCTTCTTTCTCAGGTTCCTCCCCTCCGCCTATTTAGTGCTTCATATTGATAGGTCGAAGGGTTCGCGCAATGACTGGATTTCTGGACCGACCCGGTCGCTTGAGTCAACTGTTATCTTCGGTCCTGGGGCTTCTGCAGAAGGCACGTGGACCTTTCAACCATATTTTTCCGCAAGAAAGAATGCCTACTAGCAGGAATTCAGTTGTATTGAAGAAGCAGTAAATGTAAAGGTACATAAGTTCTGCGAAAATCAAAAACGCGTTGACTTAGAGAGACGATGGTTTTACATGAACGGATGTGGATGTCACTGAACGTGTATTTTTTGAGGACGTTCAGTGAAGAGTTCCAAATAGAAACAAATAGGCAGGCCTTTTCAATAGAGGCAAGTAGCGCAACTTGTCTATTAATTATAGTAGGGTGTTTAAGAGAAGTTGTGTAAAGGCTGCTTGAGAATGCCGACAACAAAACATGAGCAAGGATGAAGTGGTGCAATATTCGCATAAAGTTACGAAAAAATGCCAATGAAAATAAGATTTGGGAAAACAACGTTTGCCAAGCGAGCTTTGGTGCGAACGTTTGGAACAATTATTAGATAATTAGATTAAAGACAAAGGTTTAAGCTTGCGAGGAGGCTTGATAAGAGTTTTTTGATGGGATTGAGTTTTGGCAGCAAGAGATTTGAGACCATGAGTCCAAAGAAAGTTCGAAAAAGAAGACGAAATGACCTCGAAGAGTTGCTTGAGAGTAAATTGATTAAGGTTGTTTTCATAATTTAAAGCTAGCTGGAGGTAAGCCAGGAAAGCTTGCTTCAAGAATGTGGCAAGGATTGGTAAAGTAAATAGGTCGTGAAATGGTGGTTTTGTTTCGTTGTAGCTTGATGTACTTGTGCTGCCTTCGTTTTGTGTTTTGCTGGGTGGTGAACAAAGGTTGACAAAGCGAACTGAAGGAACTTGGCATGAAGATGGGCTCAAAGTTTCAAGACTTTCTGCATGATGAGGATGCAGGAGGGTCAAAACAATTTTGTGTGAAGAGGGGTTCCAAAAACTTTTGTCAAGGAAGGCTTATTGATTTGTTCCGTGGTTTTTATGGTGCAAAAATAATCGAAACAAGTTTGGGATGCGAACTTTAAGTTCGTTCAACGAAAGGTGAAGACGAGTTTAATATGTTTGGTGTGAAGACTAACAGCAAAAGCATTT